AATTAGGTCTATTCTTAATAGAGACTAGAATGAAAGAATCCATCTAAGATGGTATGCATATGTTGGGCAGAAATCTATAGTTGCTGTGGTTAGATGGGGTTAGTCCATTATGATTAGTAGTACAAGTCAGGTAAAAGAGATCTAAGAATATTTATTGACAACAATAAGAAAGGAATTAGATGCACTTGATTTAACTAAAGATATTGATTTACATAACTCAATGACATGAGACAACCTGACTGACCCAAATAGATTGGCCATTAGTCATTACGACTTACTATTTTTAAAAAAACATAGTTATGTTTCATGATAAATAATAACAAGTAATTAACCAGTATCCTAAGCTATTCATTATGTAAGCAATCATATCAGTAACATAATACTTTAAGAATATAGAGAAGATAAAAAGAATTTATGGATAATGAATATTATTATTTGTTAGTAATAAAAATCAAAATTTGATGTTTAACATGAACATGAAATGATAAATCTAAACATATATTAATCTTGTCTACAATCAAAAGTTTCAACATTTAAGAACAACAAAATTCCCAAAATAGTATTGACAAAGTAATCCTCAAGTTTCCTAGAAGCATGATTTTCTAAATAATAATTAAAATAGAGATTCTTCGAGGATGTGTTGGACTCACACCCAAGCAGTATCCTAAAATTTCCTTTCAACTTATCTGACATACTTCGCCTTCAGGATATTTTTCAAGAAGGTGCTGAACATTTTAGAGAATGAATTATTATGCTGAACTTATGTCTGTGAATTACCAGTATCAATATGTCCCATCCTTTTTTTTCTCTTTATGGCATGATTATGGTTTTGATAAAAGTCCTAAGCAAACTTTTGTCTTTCTTGTGGTTTCTCACTTGTAAAATTGCCTAAACTGACCTAAGTTAATCTGATCCTGACCTGTAAATTTTTATGCCAATCCCTTTATGTCTTCTTTCTTTCCTGCATATATAGCTTTCTTATTTATTGGTCAGCATGTTATGAACATGGAAGAGCAATGCCTCGACCCAGGCAGCACTTTCACATGATGTACACACCAAAATGCCGGAGGCAAGTAAATAATAGTTATGTGACAAGTAAAATCTTGTTTTAGGCTTATCACGTACCAAATACATGAGCTAGTTTTGTGGTTTCCAAAGTCTGTTTTCTGTTTGACTTTATGCATCAAAACAACTGACCTAAGGATCTGAATTTTGGGTTCAGATCTGTTTCCCATGATGCTGTAGATTCCAAGATGCTGTGAGCGAAACAGAGATTTAATCCACAGGGTATGAATGTCAGCCCAAAGGTCAAAGTAATCAGATTAATGATGATAAAAGAGAGAATTATTTCATTTCTGTGTTGGATATCTGTGAAGTTTAAATTGTTATAAAGAATAGGATTTGGTACATGTCCAATTATTTGACTCAGAAAAAAGAAAAATATTATAAAAAATTTATGAATATTATATCACTGTAAGTTCAAAAGGATTAGACTCACTTATCTCAATGGCAAAATGGGCCCTAAGAAGTCAAGTAATAAGTATGACTATAGATGTGTATATACATGTACTCGCATATACTATATACCTGTATCATTTAGGTAAGATGATGGAGCATATTTACACTGGTTCATCATGCAGCATAGTGTATCACAGATAATGCTAGCTCTTATTAGCCTCATTTGTGGCCACATTACTCAATGGTGTTATTAAGGGCCTGTTTGACTCTTGAATATCATTTGTTATGATATAAAGTCGTCCTTTCATGGTAGTCATTCTCCATGTACAGCATTCTGATAGAGATGCTTTTGTATAGTCTTTTTCCTGATATCTTTTTCCCTAAACACAGTATGTTTAGTTATATTGCACATGGAATTGCACATGTCAAAGTGTTTAAGAAAGGTTAGATATGATATCCTTTATAATAACGAGACAATTTGGGTAGTCCACAGTGTAAAGAGATCAATTATGTTCTTGTTTATCCTCCCTCAGTCCCTTGCCTTTTCTCTCTCCCTCCATTACCACATAATTTATGGACTGCACCTCCTTGCAAGCAAGGCCAAAATGTCCGTATCCTAAATCTTATTACTTTTTGTTTAATTATACTCTCAAGCATATTTTCCTTGGATAAACTGCAGGAAGGTCACTTGGTATATGAATGCAACTCCATGTGCAAGTGTGATGCAACATGTCCCAACAGAGTTTTGCAGAAAGGAATTCAAGTTAAGCTGGAGATTTTCAGAACAGAAAAGAAGGTGAATATGTTAAGTCCTTGATAATTGTGGAATCATTAATTAATTCTGTCTGTTCTTACAGGGTTGGGCAGTCAGAGCAGGAGAAGCTATTTCACGTGGCAGTTTTGTGTGCGAGTACATTGGAGAGGTCTTGAATGATGACGAGGCCAACAGATGGGGGGAGAGGTCTCTTATGCTGCTGATGCATTTATATTCATTATCATACTGTCATTTGTAGTTTCTTTTATCCTAAATAATTCATTTATTTAAAATTTTGCAGGTATGACTCTCATGGATGTAGTTATTTGTATGACATTGATGCCCATATTGATTGTGCCCAAGGTTTGACCGAAGGGACGGTGCCATATGTGATTGATGCCACTAAACATGGGAATGTTTCACGATTTATTAATCACAGGTATTACCCGTGTGATTCCAGTTAGCATTTGAGCTCCATGTGATTTGTAATCTTGCATGTTGACATGTCTAACAATCTATATTCTCTTTGAAAATGGCCACAGCTGTTCGCCCAACCTCATAAATTATCTAGTGTTAGTGGACAACATGGACTGCCAGCTTGCTCATGTTGGTCTATATGCAAGTCGAGATGTATGGATTTTTTTTCCTCTCGTTCCTCAACCTATAACCTTGACATGACGTGTGCTCCTGCTTACCATTGTCTCTTGATTGTTAGATTGCCATAGGGGAAGAACTGGCATATGACTACCGTTCCAAGCTTGTACCTGGAGAGGGTCACCCTTGCCATTGTGGGGCTTCCAACTGTCGAGGCCGCTTGTATTGAGTTGTTTTTTCTTTATGAATCATTTAATTGAAGTATTTTATGTGTCCCATTGTTTGGGCGTGCTAAATATCACACCCTTCACAGTGGAGAATTCATGATTCTTTTCGAGATTGCAAACTGGACAGATCATTAGAGGCACCCCCATCGTCGGACTGGTCAGTCATCTGCGATGCTGAAATGCCGACATTTGCACACGAAGGTATGCTGTCTTGCTCGAGGCCCAGGTTACTTGTCACATGTACAAATTTGTTTTTCCTCGGCAGTGGATCTACGAGGTTGTTGGGTGTCATCTCTAACTAGGTTGACTACTACTGACTTGTATCATACGTCCATTCAAGTTCCTGCTGTATGAGAATATTCTGAAAAAAGGTTATTGAAAAATTTATTTTTCTCAAGTTGAAAGGGAGAATCCACTGTCAGGTTATTGTCACTCTTCCCTTTGTGAGTGCTTGTTGATAGAAAACATGTTAGGAGGATTCATGGTATGAGCATGCAGTGTGATCACAATGCATCTAATGGTGTACAGGGAAGTGGAAATTAGTCATTGGACAATGTGAGAAAGAAGGCTTCTCATAGAAACATCATGAAAATAATATATGCTAAGTATGTTTTATCATGAAAAGATGCATGAATCTTAAAATATATATTTGTGGACATTCCAAAAGCAATCTTGATTCGATTGTCATCTCATTATATCTGTTTTCACTGTATAACTCATCTGCACAGTTGGGGTGGGGGGAAGAACAACAAAAGATCTTTTACATCTTCGGAAGAACAAACAAACAAACAAAAAAATGAAGAGAAAAATCAATCACGGATCATGGAGAATGATTTCCTTCACATTCTTTGCTGTGCTGTCTCCTTCGTTTCCCTCTCTTCTATAGATCTTGGATTGGATTGTGCTACTGAGAATGTGTACTTAATTTTGTTTAGACAGGAATATTTCTGAGTGTAAAAACAACCCCATAAGCTAACACTGTCAGACCGGCATGCGTCCCTTTGCCGTCGTGTTCTTCTAACTCTACCCTTGTGCCAATTGCCTCGTCCGCCCGCTAGTGGGATGGTCCCTCAGCCATGGTCCAAAGCAACAGGGTTACTGTCGGGTGTCATTTCTTGATGCATGGCAATCATTTTCCAGTTCAATGTCAGCCACCATTCCAAACATTCGTGAGGTACGACGATGAACTTTGAGATGAGATAAAAATCACAGTAACTATCTCACCAATACCATTATGTCTCTGTAAAATTTTAGAAGGAAGTAGGAAAGAACAGCCTGCAAAACCAATCTATGACCCACAGTTCTATGTCTTTTTCTTGCTATAGTTCTGCTCCATAATTTCAAAGTGAGGGGAGGAGTAAGAGAGCTACATTGGTTAAAGGAAGGAAGCTGTTGGATCTCCTGATGCCTCTTTCTCTCTCTTGTCAGCCACCGAAGTCCCGAACCGAGAACTGGCTCTTCTCCGACGGATTGCCACCGGCGTGCCGTAGTCCGAGGGTGAGCGACACGTCGCCGGTGGTGCCGAACCTCGCCGGCGCAGGTGCCCCAAGCGATGAGGCTGCCCCGGCGGTCGTCCCGAACCGGTACACGTCGCTTGTGGGCACGTGCGGCATGATGAGGACGTTATCGTCGCTACCGCCACTCGAGTGGCCGTGGTGGGAGAAAGCGACGCCCGGCGGCAGGGTCTCGGAGGAGGAGACAAAGTGGTGCTGCCTGCTCATGGAAGACGAGCTCGCGGAGGGGTCACCTTCCGCGGGAGCGTTGGCTTCTCCTACTCTGCGGACTTGCTGTGTTTGCTGCTGCTGTGGTGGTGGTGGTGGTGACTGTGCTCTTTGGCGGCTCGTCTCACCCTTCTCGCTTTCCTCCCCCTCCTCTTTGAACTCCTGTTGGTACATGTCCTCCACCATGGGCTTCCATAGGCGGACCCGAGCATTGATGAACCAGTTGGAGACCTGAAACAGGCGGTAGATTATACACGTACGATAATGAATGGAGTCTGTCTGCATTCTCAAGATTGCTGTTTGTTGCATCAAAACCTAATGTTTTCAAGTGAGAGTCAGAGGGAAAAGCTTAGTATCACACAAGTAACTGAGATCGCTGAGAAGAAGAACAAGGATAAAAGCTACATTTACTGTTCCATAGGGTTGGTTCTTTTGACTGTGAAGGAATGGAGAAGCTTTGAAATAAAGTTAGAGAGAGAGAGAGAGAGAGAGAGCAAAGGGCATGGAAGGTAGCTGAGTTAATATTCTGGGTGTCCAAGTAATTGATCAAGGATTTAGTGAAAGCTGGTGAATCTCTTTCATCATTGAGAGAGAAGAGGACAAACCTGATTTCTGGATAAACCTGTCTGCCGTGCCAACAAATGCTTATCTGCATCACTAGGGTACCTGATAACATAAGAAAGCTGAAAAGGACATCAGTACTGCACATATACACACACACAGACTATCACTATTCATCAATCATGAATTACCAACAACACATATATATATATATATGTATATATATATACCATTTCTTTATATTTTTTACTGTGAAAAAGCAGCAAGGACAGGAGATACTAAATGCTGTCATAAAGGGACTGCTGTTGGGGTATCCCTATAAAAGGATGGAGCAAAGGGATAAGCTTTTGCTCAGCTTTTTTATGTGGTGAGGAGTAAAAGACTATAAACCTAAGGACGGTGGTGTGGCATTGATAAAAGTGAATTCAGATTACGGAAAGCCTCTAATCATTTACTGCTAATTGCTGACTCTCTTGATAAAAGCAGGTCATATTACAGAAAGTGATGGTCATTTACTCCACCCGTTGCTGCTTTCAATGCCGTGGCTACCGAGTAGAGCGGCAGCCTCATGCTTCATACCGTTAGCTCTGTCGATCGTGCTCAACTCAAGAGAGAGAGAGAGGTACAGCTACATGCAGAAATCTTGAGTAGGAAAATTGAGGCATGCATATCTAGTAAAAGATGGGTAATGAAGAAGCAATGAGTAGGGATATCATCGACGTCAACGTGTTTCAGAGGGTAGAGAAAGAGCTAATCAATCTGCAGAGAGAGAGAGCGAGAGAGAGAGAGAAGACGTACGGGTGAAGGAAGTGCTCGAAAAGCCAAGATCTCAAAATATTGACGGAGCGCTCCGGCAAGCCGCGCTGTGGCCGCCAGGCTTCCTGCTCCATCATCCCCATCTGGTGGAACGCACGCTGCTGGCGTAAGTTCTGGTCGATAAAGCGGAGGCGCGGCGTCTCTCCCTTGGTGATGCCGGAGCCGCTCGCGCCCTCTTTGTCACCCAGAAGCTCGCACGTTTGCTTCAGCTGTGTGGCGATTGCATCCTTGAGGCACCGGAAGTGTCGCGACATGGCCTTCTGTGCGAGGGCTGTGTAAGGCGCCGCCGCTCCGAATCCCATAACCGAGTCAAAGGAGTTCACCACCATCTGCATCTGGTCGCAGTAGTGGTTGTATCTTCTGTCCACCTGCGGCATCGGAAGATGTAAACCACCATACATACCGTCGAGTCTTACGTTTCATGGATCAAAGTGGGATACTATTACATTGAAGGCTAAGCAACAAAAAGGAGTGTAAAGAATGGCACATGCCAAACTAAATAAGCTGTAGTAACACACCCAACACCGAGGACAATAATTTTCTTCTCCTTTTCTGTCATGTGGCTGATACAAATGATGGACAAGAGGAGGAGGGGGTGGAGTCATTTGAGAGAGAGAGAAAGAGAGAGAGCTAGGCCACGTTGGTGGAGATCAATCATGTCTTTTCTGCACCTGGGTGTCGGCTCACTGGCCTTCCAAGAAAGGTGAGGGACGAGTAGATGATATCAAGACTGCCAAAACGCTTAGATCTTTGGTAAAGCTGCTAAGCCAAATGTAAGGGCTGCATGAGGGAGAACAGTGCAGCAACCCAATGCCATAAGCCACTCACAGCACATTACAAGGATCGTTACTTGGAAGAATACATATTGTAGCAATATGTATAGAAAGTCTCTCTCTCTCTC